CAATATGTTACCTGCGATCTGTCCAAAGCTGGGAATCGAACCCTGAACTTTAGCTTGATAAGTCCGTAATCTTATTGCTGGCCCGCTAGAAAGCATTGGAAGGGATGAGGAAACATTATTAATAAATATAACTGCTCTAGGTTTGTTGTTAGTCGAAGTTTCTATTTTATCTCTGTGCTAACATTAAAATCACGTATCAGCTGGAAAGTTGTTTATGGGAAATTTTTGACATGCCCAAATTAAAATAAAACAGGATGGATGCTGGTGTTAGTAATGTATATAAATACATATACTTTTTAGGAGAATTAAGAAATTTTCATTAGAAAGTTGAATACATGCTCTTAAACTGTATCTTATGAAAAGCTTGGGGTACGAGGGACATAGCCCCCCAGTGGCTCAGCGGTATGTCTGCGGACTTACAACGCTAGAAACCGGGTTTCGATACCCGTGGTGGGCAGAGCACAGATAGCCTTTGTGTAGCTTTGTGCATAATTAAAAACAAACAAACAAACGAGGGACATATTTAAATTCGCATGGTAACAACCTATATTCAAAATTGTTCAGGTTAAGAAGATTTGTTTGTTTCAGTAGGTGAGATCAGAGGTTATCCATGATTGAGTCGGTTCTTGATAGAAAGTTGAAACAATTCTGATAAACAATCAGTTCTTAAGCATGCCCTTCGTGATAAAATTGTCAGAGAAAAAACTATAAATCAAAAATCAGTCTTTGCATTTCGCATAGATTGTTTGTCTTTTTTTTTTTTAACTTGGTGCAAAGATATAGGGGAGCTATCTGCGCTAGCCGTCCCTAAATTGTAGAACTACTCTTTCACTAACTAAAAATGTGATTGACCTTCACATTATAACTCTCCCACGGCTGAACTGGCAAACACGTTCGGTGACGACATTCGACCCTCAAATTATGATCCCAGCGCCCTAACCACCAGGGCATATCAAGCCTCACATGGAATTTAATTGAGAGTTATCATTCATTTAATGTGTAATCTCGTCACACTGAAATCTCCTCTCAGGATATTTACATTAATTAAAGAAAAATAATTCCTCATAATTTGTTTTAGACGACCTGTTGTTACTATTATTTCTTGACTATTTATTTAATAGCGACATTTTTATTTCTATTGATTTTAAGTTACTTTGCCTGACTACCCGAAAATATTCTTATTTCCAAGTTAAGTCTTAGTAGGTTCGATTAAGTGCTTTTACTGAAATCTATATTTTGCTCTGATTATTTTTAATCGATTTACTGTGATGGTTCGATATATTTATAATATTTTGTACACCACTGTTTTCATTTCGAACTATCTACATTTCCAGTGTAATAATTTTAATGGCTATTTTATTAATGATTATCTTTAGCTTTATAAGAATGAAGTATAAGTATCGATCAGGAATTACCTGGAGTTTGTTATAAATCGTCGCAAAAATAACATACTAATAAACCAGAGTTACACATCGATTTCTTTGTATTGTATAGTTAGCACAGGTTCAAATTGTTATTATAGCTTATTGTATAATACATTAAGTTAGCACCACATAATAATTGATTTGTTTGTTTGTTTTTTGTTATGCACAAAGCTACACAAGGGCTATCTGTGTTCTGCCCACCACGGGGATCGAAACCCGGTTTCTAGCGTTGTAAGTCCGCAGACATACCGCTGTGCCACTGGGGGGCTAGTAATTGGACGTATCGTAATGAGCTTAAAGAATGATGTGATCTAATCTATTATCAGTCTTATTTTGACATAATACATTTCCGGTTACAGGATCAAGATTTACCAGGATCAGCGTTATACATTAAAGGATACCATAGAGTCATGTTTACATCACAGCATAAAGTAATGTTTAACAGCATGCTGCAGAGTATATAGCAACTAATCGACCGGCAAAAAAAAACGATCATTCTAGAAGCACATTTCATTGTTTAGCAACTTTATAAAGTTTAACAGCACACTAATATATTTAGCTGTGTATTATAAAATGTTTTATTTTGATTTGATCCTGTAAAATGGCTAAGAGATAAAAACCAATGAATTGCGTGTTTCACGAAAGATGATAGAAAGATGTAACATATAATGAATGTTGATTTATCGGGGATTGGCAAATCCTGTGCTTTAAATTTCGCACCTTTTTTTAACTCTTTAAAATTAAATCGCCTACCAATTGTAGACACGAACAATTAGTACTTCATGAGAACAGAAATAACGAATAATCATGGATAGAATGGTAATCATTTTCTTTGGGCATCTTCGTGATATCTTAACCAATGTATGAATTATGACTATTTTTCCCGTGTAAACAATAATTGTATCTTCACTTACGGTTTAGTAGACAACAGAATAAGAGCTGTTCTAAAAAATAGTAAAGACGTCTCTATGTTGAAAATAGTATGTATGTATATTTGTGTGTATGTATAAATTTGTATAATTCCACTGTGGAAAGCAGTACATAAGTACTAAATAGTCCTACTATAAAAATAAAAATGAAAAGATTGAGTTATAGTGCCATGTTTTCAAATGCACGTTATCTTAGTGATTAATGGTAGAAACTTCTTACGATGTCAGTTTAGGGTATACATAAGAACATTTGCTAGGAAACATTCCAATAGATATTCAAATTAATGTTTAATATATCTATGTAAAGAAATTTTACTTTTTTATACCACATGTTTGGTATAAGGAGGTTCTTCAACACTGTCCACTAAGCTAACAGTTCTTACGCACTGAAAACCTAAGTTTACAAACGTTATATTTGACCAAGTTTAGAACAAGGATTTTTTTTGTTTGCTTCATATCTCAGCTTTTGTTTCCAACAAACATTGAGGCTATATGTACTATAAAAATATAGTATAAACAAGAACGGAGAAAGAAGTTGACCATTAAAATATTGTAAACTGATAGTGTGTGTGTGTGTGGTACAAATCCGTCAAATATAACCATATAGATATCCAATAATTTAGTTGTGTGATTCATATAAGTAGACGAAATGTTAATGTTGTTGTAATATGTGAAAAAGGAGTTGGAAAAGTTTAATTCCTTTTGAGATACCTGTTCACTAAATTCCATACAATAATATTTAATTTTATACATTCTACAGCTTTAGTATAACATAATTTTTCTTCAGTTATTAAACACACATACCCAACATATCTAGCTCTTGACATTTTCTTAAACTTATGTTTTAGATTTTTCAATAAAGTAAAGGATTCAAACAACATTAATTTCTTGCAAGAGTATAAAACATTTTTTAACGTTTCTTCACTGCTGTTTTGATCTCAAAAGATACCTTTTGAAACAAATAAAGAAAGTTATATACTAGAATAACTTAGTTACATCGTATTTTCATGTTGTCAGGATAAACTAAAAGATGCTTAACAATTGAATTGTGTAATTAATTAATGTTCTCATACAAGTATTATTATAACTTATTTTCAAAATCTGTGTAACTAAAGGACTCTAAATCGTGCCTAAGGTATATCTGAACAGAGTAAATAGTACAATTTTTCAATCAAAACAGACAGGATAGTAAAATAATCCAATCAGAACAGATAAGATAGTACAATTTTTCAATCAAAACAGACAGGATAGTATAATAATCCAATCAGAACAGACAAGATAGTACAATTTTTCAATCAAAACAGACAGGATAGTGTAATAATCCATTCAGAATAGACAAGATAGTACAATTTTCCCATTAGAACAAACAAGATAGTACAATTTTCCCATTAGAACAAACAAGATAGTACAATTAAGTAAGATGGAGTATTATACTAGAGAAGGGTAAAATCTGTCGGATTCGAATAACAGTTGGATTGATGTACTATGTTGTCTGTTCCCATTGGACTATCTTATCTGATCTGATTGTACTATTGTACTATTTGTCTGTTCTGATTGGATTATGGTACTATCTTGTCTGTTTTGATTGGATTATGGTACTATCTTTTCTATTTTGTTTGGAATATTGTACTATCTATCCTGTTCTAATTGGAAAATTGTACTATCTTGTCGGTTCTGATTGGATTATTGTACTATCTTGTCTGTTCTGATTGGAATATTGTACTATATTGCCTGTTCTAATGGAAAAATTGTATTACCTTTTCTGTTCTGATTGGATTATTGTACTATTTGCCTATTCTGATGGGACAAACATTTTCCATATTTGTGTTGGACAACGTTAACAAATATGCGACCAGGTGGTTCCATAAAAAAAAATCGTATTTTTCCCAGGAGGTAATATACATGTGCTATAGAAGGACCATTTCTAGAGCTCATTTTTGTTTTCACCATCTATCTATGTACGTATCGATCTATGTATGTATTTCTATCAATAAATATTTAACGGCTTTGATTGTAAACTCACTCAAGGGTTTTTAATGTTATTACCTAAAATTATCATACCGTTGATAGTTAGTGACTTATGCGTTTGCTTGCATGTAGTATAATAAACATTTTCCATATTTGTGTTGGACAACGTTTACAAATGACTGAAGAAGCATTTCGTGAACTCTAACACAAACATTCCAGTTTAAATTTTGTCTTGTTTTCATCATACTCTATTCCACTTATCGTATCATTATTTAATCATTTACTCACTTTCAAAACAAAACAACAAAAAACTTGAGAAAATACTTATCACATGCAAGTTTTCATATATTTATTCTAATTGCAACGCGATCAATAAAAGTATAATATATTTTATAAGTTATACGTTAACATCAGAAGTACTTGGAAAAGCCATGAATCAGGAAAATAAAAATATTTTTATATTGACATTTGAACGAAGTCTGTTGCTACACCTGTCATTTTTCCCATGGTATGTTGATGCGTGTGTATTATACCAGTATTCCTTTTGCTCTATTTTCCCATGGTTTATAGGTGCGTATGTGTTATATCAGTATTACTTTTGTTCTGAAACGTGCTTCGTTCTTCGTAATGAATTAGCACTGACACGTAATTTAGTACAAATTATAATTTATACTCATCCCAAGGAAATACCGTAGCATATAGGATACTGTTTGCATTTTATGTTATCAATGCCTACTTCGTAACTCTCGCCCGAGTTCAAAGTTGTCTCTCTCATTAAATATATCATTTCTCGTCTAGCTTATCTCGGAGGTAAGATTTTCTTGGCTTTAATACGCTTTGTTTAATAATGTCACGGCTAGCTTGGTTAAGATAAGAACACCTATTAGATTCCTTCTCTAATCCTACTTTGAAAGTTCTAAGTTATTTGAGGGTATAAATTGTACGAGTACTGAAATTGTGTTGTTGCAAAACAACAACAAAAACATATTCGTACCATGCTGAGACTAAGCACTGTAATTGAAACATGCTAAAACAAAGCTTCATGTTTATAGCATGTTGAAACTGAACATTATATTGGTAACAAGGGAGACATAGTATCGTACTGGTGACATACTGAAACTGAACATTAATTTTTTAAATGCTAAAAGTGAGCATTACATTGGCAACATGGGAAATACAGTATCGTACTGGTGACATACTGAAACTGAACACTAATATTTTTAGCACGCTAGAAATGCTCATTACATTGGCAACATGCGAAATACAGTATCGTACTGATGACACACTAAAACTGAACACTAATTCTTTTAACATGCTAGAAGTGAGCATTACATTGGCAACATGGGAAATATAGTATCGTACTGGTGACATACTGAAACTGAACACTAATTCTTTTAACATGCTAGAAGCTAGCATTACATTGATAGTATAGACATCGTATTGGTAATATGCTGAAGCATAGTATTCTATTCATAACATGCTGAACATGACTTACTTATACTAATAAATAACAAACATGGACTGTTCTTATGTACCATCAGCTTTGCTGCATTATATAAATGAATACATGTACATGATACTACTAGCATTAGTTAATAATACATGAAATTATGTAAAATGTATAAACCTTAATTACTTAGTCTAGAAGTTTACGTTTAAATATTTGAGGATTACGTTGATAATATATATAGCTTCTCAATCATTAATATGGCTGTTGTATCTCAGCCGGCCTGACGAGCCTTGATACTTGAAGAAGCCTCGTCAGCACTGGATATAGCAGACATAATGTGGTTGACATACTGCTACTTTCTTCTTTACTGTCAGTTATAAGTTCTTAAGATGCCATATTTGCTAACATTGTGTTTGTCCTACAAAATGGGAAAGTTTTCGACTTAGTAAAATTGCAGATCATTCTTGACAAGAAAAATTAAAACATTATTCCTGGTACGAGAAAATAATCGTCGCATAAAATGACGGATTTTTGTCTTTGAGAATTTTATCTTTGTTGAAAAATATTTTTGACCTCATTAATTCCTATGTTCGTGTAATAAAAAAACATGCTATTAGTTGTGAATTGTCTGAAATTGAAACGTAACCCTATTTAGAATTGTAGGCACTCTACGTACTAGGTCAAGCCCATTTCGGTCTCGAATAATTTTGTTCGTTTGTTTATTGTTAAACACAAAGCTACACAATTCGTTATCTGTGCTTTCTTTGCGGCGGGTATCGAAACCCAATTTTATCACTATAAGCCGTCAGTCTTGCCGCTGATACACCAGGGAGGGGGAGAGATATCTCAATTAAGATTAAAACATATTTCTAATTTTGTTATATAGAAAACCTCCTTATTCACTTTATCAAACGTTTCATTAATATTGTTGTGCTATTTGTTTGTTTATCTGTTAAATTTTCGCACAAAGTACCTGAGAGCTATCTGCGCTAGCCGTTTTTAATTTACAAAGGATAGACTAGACGGAAGGCAGCTAGCCAATACCATCCACCGTCAACATTTGGGTTATAGATACTGATATTGTAGTGCATGTTTGACGGACGTTAGTGAAAATAACCAAATTACTTCCTTAAAATATTTTAGTGACCACGCACGATAAAAATGCTTGTTTTCTTGTGGAGAAAATTAAGATGAATTTTAGCTATAAGATATCAAATATAATCGAAAATAATATAATATATGTCACCTGAAAAAAAATGCATTCATAGCAAATGTGTATCACCAATACTGTCAAAGTATATCAATCAGTGTGAATGATTTCCTGTCTTATATCATTATCAGTAAAATGTTATTTATGTGTCGCATACATATCTTAGCGTTGATGATTTACGTGGTTATTTATAACGACTTCTGAATGTTCTAGACTGAGCAACTGACGTTTCTTTGGATTCTCTTTGCCATGATCGTTTTGGGAAATGGCTGTGTTTTGGTGGCGTTACTGTTGTCTAGCAATAGAAAGTCCCGGATGAACTTCTTTATAATGCACTTGGCTGTTGCAGGTAAGAATAGTACAGATCATCATCACGCACATTTTGATTATACTGTCTGATGTCAGTTCTTTCCTGTAGATCATCATCAAGCAAATTTTAATATACTGTCTGAAATCAGTTCTTTCCTGTAGATCATCATCAAGCAAATTTTATTATACTGTCTGATTGATGTCAGTTCTTTCCTGTAGTTCATTTTGGTATAATAACCGCAAAACTTTCAGAGACGCCAAACTTGTAAGTTCGTCAGGAATCTTCTTGTCGGATATAAAGCTTAACACTACAGATATTCAAACTTTAATGAATAGCTACTGATATGTCATTTGTGGTAATGTTTTGTTGGTCTAATATACATTTCTTTAAGAAATGAAACTTTTATAAGGTATTAAAATATTACTAGACAACAGGACGACGGGAGCAACAATAAACATTTGACCCGTGAATGTTCAATAACAAACATTTAATTCGTGAACCTTTCTTAATATACATATTTCATCTTCAGCAAGCTATATTGAACATGCTAAATTATTAGGTACATACATTTTATTAAGTTTAAACATTCTATAAAAAAGTCATTAAAATACAGAATAAAAGTATAAAATAAATTAAAAGACAATCAAATAAACAGCGAATAGAATAATGCAACGATATTATACAAATATTTAGAACAAACTTAATTATAGTGAAGTTGTGTCATTACTTGAAGTGTCAATTGTTCGTTGTTGCTGCCGTCGTTCATAATTAAACTTCGATTCCCGTCGAAATGAATCTATTACTAGACAAGTTTCTGGTTTTAGTCAGTTTATATACTATTATCCAAATTATGTAGAATATGTTATTCTTTAAAATCAAAACAGAATGCACATGTATTACAAACTACAGAGTGTCTGAAAAGTCTGGAATCATAAGCACTTTAACGAATTTTTCAGAATGTGTTCCACACGCAGTCCTTGTAATTTGAAACAAATTTGGAGAGGTATTTCCATTCTCTTTGAGCACTGCGAATCATATTTGTGTCATCCACACTGCCAGTCTCCTTAAACTTAGCTAGAAACTTCCTAACAGCATTGCGAGTGATGTTTTTCTCTTTCTATGGATGGCGTGCATTAAATTCGGCAGCAACCTTCCGCTGAGACCAACCTTCTATGAAACACAGTAATATTAACTCGACCTTCTCGTGCTTATACAGCGCCACAATCAGTCACGTGTCTGAAATTAAGAACAGCTGCAAATCGTCTTTGGTTCCAGACTTTTCGGATACCCTACACATATGGTCATATATTAATGTTTGAAGTATGTGTTACTTCTTCAGCTTTTACCGATATTAAGAGTATGTTACAACTACTGATGCTATGAAGCTTCATCTGATGATGTAATTAAAATGAATCAGACATATATATATACTTCATTTCGTGATTTATTAAACAATTAACAGTGTTTAAGATTTTTTTTTCGATTCAAACCATTTAGGATTTATATCATTATTTCAACTGCGTGTATAATCTCTTTCTTGATAGAATAATTCTCATCATTTATTTATGTCATAAATATAAATTTCCTTACATCAAAGTACAAGATTACAATACTGAGCGTGGTAGTCTAAACTAAATGAAAACTTTTGATTTACTTAGACTTTATCTCCCTTTCAAAGAACGAAACATTATACGTTGTGACACAAGACGAATGACTTTCATGAAAACAAAAATAGCGACGGACTTTTAAGAATATAATCTATTCCTACAGTTCACGTATCTAATAGGATAATTATTACATAACTACTGCTGTTTTTTATAAGAAAATATATTTTAAACCAAGACAGAAAAAGATACGATTTTTTTACATATTCGTGCTTAAAAACCAAATTCCAATATCTGCATAACTAGTTTTTTAAATGTTTGTTCGCTGAGTAATGTATTTTACAAAAGCGTAAGCTCTGATTTTATTCGTTCTCTAAATCTGCTTAGTTTTTCTTAAATAGCATTTTCCATTAAAATTGACAAATGCAGCTCACATCATTGGGTTTTATATAATTGTATTTAGTTGTTGCACAACTGTGTTTAAGTGCAGCCATTTATTTAGTTTTCAATAAACTATTGGAAAAAATAAATTTCACATGTTTTAGTTTTTTGTTAATCCGCTTTTATTCATCAGTTTTCAGAGGGACCAGAAAATTACATTTCGCTATAATAAGGCAAACCATCGACGTGGCCAGAACATTGTACGTGCCTGACAAAAAAACAATAACAAAAACAGTCGTGCTGTTGTACGTTTCCTGAATTTTTTAGTTTCCTCTAAAGTGCTAAATGTGGTGAACGTCATACTTTTTAAAAGTACTTTTAAAATGTACACTTCTCGAAAGTACGATGCTCTAAGATTATATTCTAAGCCTACATTGGTTTTGCAACTTTCGGTAATATGAGAAACCACTATTGAACTTAAGCTCCTGAAGGAATTCTCGCGCCGAGAACCTGCAACACGGGTCTTTTATGACATAGAAATGGAAAAAAAATATACAAACACAAACATATTACTAGTTTCACAAAGTTTCCTTAGAGGTGTTTAACATACATGTTATATATTTTTAGAAACATATGATGAGTATTATCAAAGCAAATATGAGCTTTGCGTTCAGTTCCAAAAACAACAGTTTCTAAGTCAACCTTGAGAATAACCAACGTTAGTGCATAATGCAAAATTTAAACCGTAATTACGAAGTATGCCTTTCTCAAGCGTTGGGATGAATAAATAGTACGCCATTAATGTGGTGTTTTGTGCAGTAGGAGAAGGCGAGCTAAGATGGCTACGTTTGAATGCAATTTCCTCCAATTAAAATCAATATCATTAAAAGCACTAAGTTTTTAAATGAGTTATAATAAACATTATTTCTTGTTAAAACAAAGATTAGACATAGAAATATCCTGAACAAAATAAAAAGAAAGGGGCGTTAAATTCAGCCCAAATTTTATCGCACAAGTAGCCATTTGTTTTGTCGCTTTAGATCAAAATTTTTTCCAAGCTTTTTCATATAATTTTTATTACTTACCCATTGCATTTCATCTGCGAGCTCAGTGCTTTGTTTTATATCATAGACTCATCCATATTGCGATTTGTCTATATCCGTTTTTAGTAATTTTTACCCTTAGTGTTGTAAGTCTACTTGTCTTTCAGTGTTAGTATAGTGTGTTTGTGACATGTTGGTATAGTTTGTGATAGTCTCTCACCTCACATTCTGGTTGTTTGACAAAGAATAATGTAACAAATCAGATGAAGAGTCGAAGAATGTCAGAAAGAAATTCTTCTAAGTATTGTAAACATTTTTAGTTTCTTGTAACTTCTTTTATTCTTCTCCATTTTTCATGACTTGGAGTCTGATCAATGAAATTTAAGTGAAAAACTTCGTTGGAATTTAAGTCTTTTGTGTTTTCACTCACTAGATATGACTGTGGGTCTTGTCAGCGTGCTTACGGATATTGTTTGGAGAATAACCATAGAGTTCCATGTTGGAAATATTGGATGTAAGGTCATCAAGTACCTCCAGGTAAGCGCCATCTTTAATTACATCAAAACGCAACGTAATAATTTTCGCTGTTTTGTTAACTAACTCAAAACTACCTGTTTATACTCATGGCTTAGGAAAATTCTCTCTAAACAGGTGTAATTTTATATCATTGTTATTGTTTTCGTAGCATATATACATACTTTTCAAATAATTGCTAAAATGAATAAAAGTCTTTATATAGAGACTTTTTATTCTAATATTTTGAGTTCAGTACGCGTGTAAATACGCCATCTGTATAGTTGTAGATAGCTGTAGATCAGTGGTCGGCAACCTTTTTTGATCGCGTGTCAATTATTTTTGTTGTTGTAAAATTTAGCATTGTGTTGGGTCAGT